ACACAAAACTCTGGGGAGGGAGGGTATGTATGGGAGGGGGGGCAATGTTAAAATATGTACACAGATAATAATTTAATAAAAAATGTTCTATTATTTTATGTTAATGATTACTCATTTTTTTGGACCCTTTGTATTCAGCATGTCTCTACTGAAATAAACCTATGCTTCTAAGAAAAAGAAAAAAAAACAAGAAAAAAAGAAAAAAAAAACTGTGAGAGATGCACCAAAAAGTCACTTCCACCCAGTCCTTACTTACATTTCACAACCCCCCATACAATAACCACTTTTTATCATTCTTTTCTTTCCGATGTGTTTTTCTTCTTTGTAGTGACCCTTAAAGTTTTTCTATATCTATATCTATATGATAAAGACTAAAATGAATCATTATTTCACTCTTCCAGCCGAACACAGAATTTTAAACCAATAACTCCAAGCATGTACAAGTGAGAGAACTTTGACCTATCAAGAACCAAAGTATCGGACACACACACATGCAACACAAAAAGCACCAGGACATAACCAAAACTTGACCACCAGAACCCTTTCTTCAGTAGCCCTCTTGTCCAAGAAGACCTGGTGTTGCCACCCCTTAACATAAATGGCCAAGTTCCAAGGTCCTCCAATTAAAACTTCCCACCAGCACTTCTGCACGTGTTCCCACTCAACCCTTAAAAACCCTCAACTTAACCCAGTGTGGCTCAGGGGTTGAGTGCAGTCCTATGAACCAGGAGGTCACGGTTCAATTCCCTGTCAGGGCACATGCCTAGGGTTGCAGGCTTGATCCCCAGTAGGAGGCATGCAGAAGGAAGTCAATCAATGATTCTCTCTCATCATTTGTTTCTCTCTCTCCTTCTCCCTTCCTCCCTGAAATCAATCCTAATATATAAAAATCCAGGGCCTATCACGACCAAACCAACCAGACAGACAACCAAAGAAGAGCAACCAGACCGGCAGGGGGGTTAGTGGACAACCAACGACTGAACAATAGGCTGCATGTAGTACATGGAGTGACCAGGGCAGCGGGGGAGGGGGGGCGTTGGGGGCAACCAGGCAGAGGGGGGCAGTTGGGGGCAGCCAGACCAGCAATGGCGGGGGGTGGGGGGGGGTGTTCAGTAAGAAGTGACCAGGCAGGTGGGGGGTGGGGGCAGGTAGGGGTGACCAGGATGGCAGGGGGGTGGGGGCAATTGGGGGTGGCCAGGCCAGCAGAGGGGAGCAGTTTGGAATGACCAAGCCAGCAAAGGGGTCAGTAAGGGGCAACCAGGCGGGGGGGGGGGGGGCAGTTAGGGGTGACCAGGCCAGGAGGGGAGGCAGTTGGGGGCGACCAGGTCGGCAGGCAGGTGAGCAGTTAGGAGCCAGTGGTCCCAAATTGTGAGAGGGATGTCCAACTGACCATTTGCCCCATCCCAGGGATCAGGCCTGAACTAGCAGATGTCCCAGATTGGAGAGGGTGCAGGCTGGGCTGAGGGGACTACTTCCCACCCCCACCCCTGCCTCCGCCATGCGTGAATTTTGTGCACCAGGCCTCTAGAAAAAATATAAAGAAACCCTAAACCTAGTCCAATGAGCAAGATGGATTTGAGAGCACAATTAAGTTTCCCATCTTGTTTAGTCTCCCAAAAATTAAAATTAAATAAACCACCAACTCCAATCACACACTATTTTATATGGCTGTCTGCTGGGATGTTTGCCTATTTTGAAACCATTCCTTTGTGACTTATTCTCTCCACATTATCTCAAAAAACTCCGTCAGAAAAGGCAATCTAGTGAAAACTATATATCCCCCACATTATCTGTATTTCACACATTCTTCAGAGGCAGTTTGCTGAGCACACAATTCTAGTTATTTTCTCTTAGTATATTTGCATTATTTTCATTCAGGTGAAGCTATTGGGAGACTGAGTTTCTCAGTTCTAGTTCCAAAAATGTCAGGGTAGGATCTTGAGGGCCCAGTTTGGATTGGATGGAACATGAAATAACCATTCATTCAGAACCTGTGAAGATAAGGGGCAGATGTGGCACCCAGAGTGTGAGAGGAAGTGTTTGTATCATGGTGGTGACAAAATGCCCAGCAGTCAGATGTAAACAAATTTAGCTAAGGTAACTAAAACCCCGTATTTCTAAATAGTGATTAAAATTTCCTAACACTGCCGAAACCGGTTTGGCTCAATGGATAGAGCGTTGGCTTGGGGACTGAAAGGTCCCGGGTTCGATTCCAGTCAAGGGCATGTACCTTGGCTGCGGGCATATCCCCAGTAGGGGATGTGCAGGAGGCAGCTGAATGATGACTCTCATCAATGTTTCTAACTCTCTATCTCTCTCCCTTTCTCTCTGTACAAAATCAATAAAATATATATTTTTTAAAAAATTTCCTAACACTAAATAAATAAATAAATAAATAAATAAATAAATAAATAAAATTTCCTAACACGTCCCATTACTGTTTTCTTTAGGGAAAAAATCCTTCTCATACATTCTAGTTTCTGCTCGAATCATCCTTTGGGTAACTGAGAAATGCCCAAGGTCAAAGCTGCACGCTCCTGGTAACAGCATGTTCTGTAACACACCGGAATTGTGGGATAAACAGCCCTGCCTTCAGGCAAGACCTGCCTGGTCTCCTTCCAAGTCAGACCTCAAGGCCATGCTCTTCCTCCACCGCACTGTGGCCACATTCTCCACCTGCATGGCTCCTGGTGACCCCTCAGTCCATCCCCACAAGTCAGGGAGCACATGTGGACAAACCACTCTCCCCAAAGCTGCTGCTGGACTCAGGGTTCATCCCTCCCCCCACACCTCACCTTGTGTCCTCCCCTTGGTTCTCTGTGCGACTTGCCTTGCTCTTTGGCCATCCTTCAATTCCTGACCACCTCTTCAGGCTCAAGATAAACCTCAGCTCTTTGGAGATACCTGGACCAAACTATCTAAAGAGGCTCCCTTGTTGCTCTTTACCTCAGCCCACAAATCACAAATGTACATCATTTGTCAATCACAGAGACTTTTAAGATAGAAGGATCTGCTTAGCCTTTTATTTTTTACCAGAAGCTGCTTAAAGATATTTCATCAGAATTAATTTTAAATTACACAACACTTTTATCTTATTGCTGATTTCATTTGTAGCTTCTTCCCTCCATAATATGGACTATATATGTTGTACATAACAACTGAAGTGTTCTCAATTTTTGGAATAATTTAACTTATTTATTAAGGGAAAACAAAAATTTTGAATAGTAGAGGAGACACACGTCTTGGTGGCATTTTGATGACATCATAGTAATACAAGTCTTGCCTTCTTGATTCTTTATACTAATATGCGAAGTTTTAAACATAACTGAATATGTAATTTCAACAATAATCACGTTTTTGAAGAGTAATGTAGAAAGTTAAGCAAGCAGTAGAGAATTTCTGAATGTATACCCAATGCCTGTGCGACGAGCTTTCCCACCTGAAAAAAGGGCCGCTGGCAGGCAGGACACCCCAGGTAGAGTGTTAACACCTCCTGAAGTTCCTGCAACTGGCACAAGGCTTCACTCACATGGGGAAGAACAGGAGGAAGGACCGGCAACCGCCACAGATTCTGACTTGCACTTTCCTGCAGAAAATGCGGTCAACTTTCTAAAACTGCAATTTTTAAAACTTTCGAACAAGCTTACCTGTCTATGACAAGAACCACACAAGCATCTTATGAGACTTTGAAAAATACCTGCATTAGGTTCAATTATTAATGCCCTTCAGAAAATTTTGGGATGGGAATAAAGGAATGGAAAAGCATAATTATGTATCGCTTAATATTAGCCTCTAACAAGCAGGTAGAAAAATATAACACAATTGCTCTTTTAAGTCTAGAATTTAATTTATATTTTCAAATGTGAAATCCTATAATTAGAAATTTGTTCAATTGCTATATCATTGTGATATCCAGTAGCTATTAACAAAATTGCACCAAAACAAAACATAAAAAAGTAAAATAATAAAAGAGACTCCTAATAACAAAACTTTTACAAAAGTAATTATGGAACATGGATTTTTAATGAATTTCAATTTGCAATGAAGACACTGAACACTTAAAAACAATTACATCAATACAATAAAAACACTTGCTTCTCTACACAACACTTACTTACAAATGTGTACTTTCTCCAAAGAAACTTGTTTTTCACAGATTTAAACAACAAATAATTTTACAAAGGATTCTTCAGATGGCAAAATATGTACAGAATCTTTGACTCTACAGAAACCATGTGCAGTGGTTGAAAAGGAGTGTTGCTTTGTCCAAAGAATCTTGTACAAAAATTCTCTACCAATGCACATTTTTTCAGTAACCACACATTTTTTTTGCATTATTAAATGAAATTCTGGACATGCCAGCATATAGGACAAACAATTCCCATTTCAAAACACTATTTCAGATGAGATCACTTGTGGCTGATGACATGACAATTTCAGCCACACAAACATTCATACACGCACACATATTCAAGCACACGCATGCACACAATATTGCTAATCTCCTTCATGACTCCTGAAATCACAAGCACTATGACCAGAGCAGCTGGAGAGATGCCCTCCGAGGACACACAGCAGCTACCAGAAGCGCGTCCTGCTCCTGCGAACAGCCCCAGCACCATGAGGCCTTTTGCACTCAAGGAAACAAGAGAGGCTGGCCCCTCCACTTTGCAAGGTGAGCAGCTGCCGGGCCATGAAGGGCACTAGTCTGCACAGAATTAAATGGCATCACAACATATATTGAAAAGCTTCAAAAACTTTTTAAAATCTTTTTATTGATTTTTTTAGAGAGAGGGAGAGAAGGAACCATCAATGAGAAACATTGCTCGGCTACCTCCTGCACCCACCCCCTTACTGGGATCGAGCCAGCAACCCAGGGCATGTACCCTGACCAGGAATTAAACCAAGAACTTCTTGTTTCATTGTGATATCCAGTAGCTACTAACTGGATATCACAATGAAACTGGAGACACCAGGCAAGCTAAAAGCTTCAAATTTTGTAATCTGGAAGAGATCTAGTTCTTAAGTTTGATTTATCTACTTGTATACATTTTTCAATGTTACTAATGGTGATTCTAAGACAGTCAGCATTCAAATTAAAACAAAAGAGGGAACCCAAGAGTGGTTATGCAACCTATCCTTAGGAACTCATCGTGCTTGTCTTTGGGGGTGTGGCATGGTAGAGAAGGTGTGATCAGCAGCCATCTCACCACGAGACCACTCAGGAGAACAGTGCCGGAACCTGGTGCTCAGGCCCATAGTGACAACTGACTTGGTTCTCAAACAGTGTGCTGAGGGCAAATGTCACACTTTAAAACTACAACTAATTCTTGAACTTTAAAAATAAAGTCGCTCTAAAGCATTGCTTGTCTGTTGTTAGCAACTTCTGAACTGTTATTACTAGTTTTTCCTGGTCTCTCTCCCTTCCAGGCTCTGTAAATCATTTCAGAATCACCAAGGACTCAGGACTGAAGTTTCAAAGCTTAGCTACTGCAGGACTTGAGCCTAGGCGCTCCACCCCCGGCAGCCTGCACATGTCGCACTGCCCTGCAGCAAACAGTGCCCAGCCATGTCACTATAAAATAGGAGACATGGGAATGGGGTCACCCACAGTCATTTTCAATGTTAACCTCTTGTATCTCTCCAAGGGGGCCAGTCTCCGATATAGTTGAAGGATTAAAAATATAAGGAGTAATACACTGAGATGTCTCTTTAACAAAACTATAACAACAATAACACGAACTCACAAACGTCAAACACAGTAACTGCTAAGAAGGCAAGGGTGACAGGCCCACTCCAGCAGTGGGAGGGTTGGCACTGAGGGGTGTCCTGGCAACTGAGACAGGAGCATCTTGTCACCTGTGAACTATGGCTGCGGCTGCCACCCTGGTAGCTAGCTAATGGAAGTGCCTTTCCACTACATTTGCTGATTGTCTTTCTTGCCTTCTGAACTGAACTCGGTATTCCAGCTAAAAGCCAAAGTGCTTAGTTAGCTAGGCACAATAAGACTCCCAAGTTTTCCAAACATTTATTTTTGAGGTAGTACTCATTTATTTGCATTGTTGGCTCTCAAATACCACCAAAGAAATGAACCCATGCAGAAACATGCAAACCAAAGGTGTAGAAAATAAATAAGGTTTTGTCTTCAGGTAGCACAGCCTTCTTAAAAAGGTCAAGTCACATTCAATGGATAAGTTATTTGAAACTTCTAAAAATTGTTTATAACCACAGCTATAAACTAAAGTGCTTTAAATTTTGCTTACAATCTAAAATTGGTGATTAGAATCTTATTTTAGAATTTGCTAATATGAGACCTCAGGATATTGAAATGATTTTCTATTAAAAAAAATAAAAATTAAAAAAAATAAAAACTTTTTCTTTAAACAAAAAATGAATCCTGCAAACTCAACATCTGATACTATTTTTTTAACTTCTAAGATCCAGGTTAATTTCACAGAACTGTAAGAGAATGAAGAGCTGAAGCTGAATTACACAACAGCTTGTGCTACAACTTCACATGGAAGTAAACATAAAATTTTTTGCCAATCTTGCCATTCATCAGCCAACGCAAACACAGCTCTGCAGTCTCCCAGGACAAGGTAGATATGTAGGATTATTCCAGAAATGCCACAGACTTACACTCACAGTAAGTACACAGGTTCACATTGAACTCACACAAGTGTGATGCCCTCCTGTCATATGTCAAATGCCACGTGCTGTAGGGAGCGGCTTTGTTCCCACTGACCAGAGGATGCCAGCACAGACAAGACAGAATAAAAACGTAACCACAATTCTGTACATCATGCAAGCTGGGTACAATGGGAAAAGAACATATACAAATCACCCTTCTCAGGGTCCAGCTCTCACAAAAATGGCGGATCGGTATGAGAAAAGCCTGCTCCAGTCACAGGTCCATGGCGAACTACAAAACTAGGGAATGCTGGCACCTTATTTTTCCTGTAACAATGCAGGGATGTTGATGTTCCAGCCTATGGCTTGCCTGTCAAACCCACAGGTGAATAGATTGCAGGTGGGGTGGTCCTCACTCCACGCCGAGCAGCACACCATTCTTCTGTGGCCCTATTACCAAGCACACAAACCAGAATTAGTGTATTATTCCTCAAGCATAAGGGCTATAAAACCACAACCAAATTAACAACTACACCACTCAAAGCAACCGAATTAAAAGGGGGGAAAATTAACTCTCAGGATTAATCAGAATGAGACAAAAATACTAAGTTGGCAGCAGGTTCTCAGGGATGAGCTGGTGGAAAGACCTTGATGAATGAATGAGGTCAGACACAACATGAATCTCATGAAACACACCAAAAGCACTCATGATTCTTTAAGAAAATGAGTAAGATTACAGTCCGAAAGAAAAAATAATCAATTTTTTTTATTTTAATGAACGAGTCTCGGTAAATTAAGGAATAAACTCAATGAAATTCACCCAAAGACCTCAAATATCATTTTAACAAATAATTGGTTCAGGTGTCCAAGCAGTTAAAAATCACATTCAGTGTCAAATGAAAAAAATAGAAAAAATGAATGGCCTTTCAAGTAGATTCCTGATACCTTCAGGAATTCCGGTTCAACCTCACAATGTTGGGGAAAATTACTGCAAAACGTACAGTTTACAGTGTGATGTTTGGTGTATACAGGCAGGTATGCAAGCAATGCCTTAGTATACAGTCATTGTTACTCTAATAGTTGGCTGGTGCTATATCATACAATAGAGTACAAGGAGGAGTAGAAACAGCTAAAAGAAATTTAGTAAAAGAAACCCTCAAAAGAATGGCACAACAGCTTCCTCTGTAAAACACTGGCATTTGAGAACTGCTGGTTTTAGAGAGAATCAGGCCACAAAGGGAAAGCACTGCAAGAAAGGAGCCCAGAATGAAGGGTTAGGGGAGCTCTTCTTCACCGCTTTGTTAGGAACTTAAGAAGTGAGAATGCATAAGAATTCACTAGCTGGCAATAAAAATCAAGCCTCTAGAAAGAACTAGTTCAAGATGATAAACTCAAGCCACTCACTGAGCCAACAGAGTCATGTCCTACTACCTAGTGAGGGGAAAAACCAGACGGCACCTGCAAATGTGGGCCAGTCCTGCCTGAACTGGGAGCCCGCACTAGGTGAGTCCTCCTTTTATCTCACGTACATCCTCCAGAGTGCACACAGACATGACCCAAAAAAGGCCCGGTGCACGTGCAGACTTTGAAACCATTCTGTGCCCTTAGAGTCACAGAGCCATGCTAAAACTTCCTCCTCCCGCAGCACAGATCCTGTGCGCTGTCTGTAGACCCACCTTTCACTGCACACTGCACCACTCCTCCCTGAGCTCCTGATCACAGTCCACACTCTGGGAAATGGCACTTACACTTTCCCCAAAGTAAAACAATTCCACATCCTAAGCCCCTGCTCCTCTAGAGACCAACTTGAACTGAGTTTCGTTGTCTCCTTCTAAAGCTGTCAGCTGAGAGAAGCTGGGACAACATGAGCCAGGGATTTCTAGCTGTGGTTTTGTGAGACTAAAAAGCATACTGATTCATCTGAAATGTTACAGGTTCAGAATGAAATGAAATGTTATCCATTAACCTTAAAGGTAAGTATTTTCACAAACCACTTTAGGAGGAAATAAGGCCAACCACAGAGGAACTCTACAATTCCAACTGGATTGAGAGTTAACAGAAAATTATAAAGTTGTGCCCACAGAATTAGCCCCACCAATAACTGCTGAAATCTCTCTCTATTTTTTTTTTTTTTTGAGAAATATTCTCAAAGTAATGAAGTCATGCACACTCATACATTTGTTTATAAATGCTGGCTTTCCATGTTGCACAGCAATTTTACATACTGCATAGGCACAGCTATAAACAAAAGAGTAAAGAGAGAGATGTTTAGGATACATCAGTGATGCTTAGCAGTTACCAAAACACAAAAATCCCAGACAAGCAACTCTAGCTTTGTGTAGTTACTCTAATTTCATGAGTAGTTTTTCTGTGACCTGCACTCATAATTAAGCAGCTCAGTCATTAACTTCAAACAGCACACGTAGGAGCTACAGAGAAGAACCAACCATGTCTTGAACACAGAGAGCTTTTGGAAACTTGGCGCCATTGCATTTGTTGCTCTGTTGGTAGCAAATGCACCTGACCACGTAACTCCGGAGTCGCCTGGCTCTGCAGTTCCTGAGCCCCGCCTCCCTCAGGGCAGCCTGCAGCGCATCACTGCACTTGGAGGCTCTGCCCCAAAGGGACACGAGCAGCCACCGAGTTGCAGCCATGGTGGGAGAATAAGGTATCACAGTGACACACAGAAAAGGCAGAAAGAAGCAAAGGAGAGTGTGACTGTGGTGGGGCTCCGTTAGGCACAAAGGCTGCAGAGAGGCTGCCTTCATAAGCAGGAAGGGGAGGGGAGGACACTGGCTGTTGTTACTACAGCTACATCAATTCCGCTACAAACAGAGCCAGTGTGTCACTCACTCTGGGACTCGCCCTCAAATTTGGAGCAACCCAGAGAACGAATCTAAACACAGTTCCCAGGCTTCCCTCAGACTCTGAGTCAGCAGGTCTGAGCTGGCACCACAGCCCAGGTAGCTGTGACAGGTGGTGCAAACACCTCAGTATACACTGACCCAACACCCCTGCACTGCACCATCTGGGCTGAATGCAAGTCCTAGTGCCCAGGAAAGTCTCTTTTACAATGGAGTTTGTCCTGGCAACTCACCATGGAAAGGGGTTCCTGGCTAGAGGCGGAGGGTCCTTTCTTAAGGAGCTGCCACTTCTGCTTGGCCACCCAATATGTTTAATACATTTCCAATTTGCACAAGTTCAATTGAAAATATCTAAAACTGCTTTCCAGTATGCAAAAGTGAGTCCCCGTGTAGTGGCTATTGACACTAAGGAACTAAATGCTGGATTTCATTTAGATTAAACTTAAAAACTAATGTTCAGTCCAGGTACTGGGAAACATTTTAACATTTTCAATGATAAATTTTAGGAACTCTAAATACAAATCAAATATATAGTAAGAAAGTAAGTGTAAATTTGCTAATATTTTTATAATGATGATATGTTCAAATGTTATTATTTTGGGTTTATCTAGTTAAATATACTATTAAAGTAACTTCTCGCTTTTTTAAAGTGGCTATTAGAAAACAAAAACCATGTGTGTCTCCCAGGGTGCGTCCAGGAGTCACTGATGACGAGAAGACCTGAGACTCTGGGAACATGGGTCACCAGCACAGTTACCTGCCGGCTGCTGCGGGGGAGCCGTGCCAGCCGCACGCCGGACATATCAAACAATCTGACTTGTCGGTTGTCATGGGGGAGGGCGATGATTTTTTGGCCAACGCATACATTGATCCTGCAAAGAGAAAAGGAGGTCTCATATAAAACAGTGACAGCACCACGGTATTCCATACTATACACACTTCATGGCAAACACAATAGTGAGTACTATGTGTCTGCAGCTTTAGGATGCAGAGATCAAGCTGCTTATACAATTCACATGTGCAGCATGTCACTAAAACAGAGGGGCCATAACTGGCTCATTCTTATTCTCAGAGCCCACTACACCAACCTAATTGTATACTTAAGTTTCAGTGTTTACAAATACTGAATTTGCATTAGAGGATCAATGGCAAATATTTCCCCAGGAATCTAAACCACTTTCCCAAGGTTCATTTAATTGTCACATGGACAAGACATTGTACTACAATCAACCTATCAAGTTAAATAAACATCTAAGCAATGAGCAGCTCCCCCTCACCTGTTGATAGCAGAATCTGTACGAATGGTTGCAATGGGGGATCTCATGTTCTTTAAATCCCAGACCTTCACTGTGCGGTCATCACTGCCTGAAACGACGTTATCTCCCACGGTGAACACGGCAGAGGTCACGGTGCTACAAGTAAAGGGCACGAGGTCATCTAGTGTTCAGCATGGTGACGGTAGTTAATACCATAACATGTACTTGAAATTTGCCAGGGGAATGGATCTGAAATGACCTCACCACACACACACAGAAAAGGTAACCAAGGTAGATGACAGGTGTGTTAATTAACTTGACTGTGATCACTTCAGTGGAAACGTATATAAAACACCACATTGTGTATCTTAAATATACTCAATTTTTACTTGTCATTTATACCTCAGTAAGAAGGAACAAACTTTAAAGATAACAAGAAAGGAGAGAGAATATAAGATGGCTGCACAGGTAAACACTTAGCCACAGCCACACACAATTTCAATAAAATACAACTAAAATATAAAATGGACATTACCCAGAACTACAGGAAAGTCAACTGACTGGAAATTCTACAACGAGAAGGAAAGAGAAACCCAGAAGGAAGAGCAGAGGAGCTGTAAAAGCCTAAGGTACGGAGACACGCAGCACGCACAGTGAGGACGGAGCCAGAGAAGAAGGGCGGGGCGGCTGAGTGCCTGGCTGGCGTTCCCTAGCTGGAAGGAGATAAAAGCTCCCACTGTGCTGGGCCCCAGTTCCGACTGCTCTGAACCCCAGTTCTAGGCCAGACCCCGGGGACCCAGGCTCATCCATAGGGAGCTGGGCTGTAAGGCGGAACCCAGGGAAGCGGCGAAAGGAGGCGCGCACATTGTGTGTAGAGAAGGGACGGTTGGCTGTGTCGCGGCATTGCCCTGGCGGGAAGGAAACAAAAGCTCCGGACTGCTCTGAATGCCATCTCCAACTACACTTCCAACTGAACTGAACCCCAGTTCCAGGCTCATTGGGGGAGAGCCTAGACTGTTTGGTAGCAGGCGAAAATCGAGGGCACCTTTCTCTCAGAGGTGCTTGCAACGAGTACTGAAGGACCCTGGGGATTAATGAGACTCAGGAACCAGAGAGGGCGGGGCTGACAGAAGCCAAGGCTATAGGCTCCACCCTGAAACCTCGTCCTGTCAGGGAACCTACGAAAATGTCAAGACAACGAAATAGATCACAAACGAAAGAAATGGAGGACAAAAAGCGACTGGATATAGAGTTCAAATCTACACTTATAAGGTTTTTCAAGAATTTCCTAGAAAAGGTCTATAAGACCTATGAGGAAATGAAAAGGAATCCACCAGAATTAATAAGAAATCAACAAGAAATGATAAGGGATCAACAAGAAATAAAGAATACATTGTCTGAAATAAAAAAATATTATAAGAGTCCTAAAAATAGAATGGAAGATCGCAAGAATCAAATCAAAGATTTGGAACATAAAGAGCCAGAATACACTCCTCCACAGAAGCAAGAAGGCAAGAAAATCCAGAAAATTGAAGATAATGTAAGAAACCTCTGGGACAACTTCAAGCGAACCAACATCAGAATTATGGGGGTCCCAGAAGATGAGAGAGAGCAAGATATCAAAAACATACTGAAAGAAATAGTGACAGAAAACTTCCCCCACCTGGGGAAAGAATTAGACTTACAAGTCCAGGAAGGAAGCGCACAGAACTCCAAACAAAAGGAATCCAAAGAGGACCACACCAAGACACATCATCATTAAAATTCCAAGAGCAAAAGACAGAGAGAGAATATTAAAAGCAGCAAGAGCAAAGCAGGTAGTTACCTATAAAGGAGCACCTATACGATTGTCAGCTGATTTCTCAACAGAAACCATGCAGACCAGACGGGAATGGCAAGAAATATTCAAGGTGATGAATAGTAAGAACCTACAGCCAAAGATAATCTACCCAGCAAAGCTATCACTCAGAATCGAAGGCCAGATAAAGAGCTTCACTAATAAAAAAAAGCTAAAGGAGTTCTTCACAACCAAACCAGAATTATATGAATTGCTGAAGGGGGTTCTTTCGGAAGAGAAAGTAAATAAAGATAAAAATTATGAATAACAAATACGTAATTATCAACAAGTGAATCTAAAAACCAAGGAAATTAAAAAGAAAACACTGATGAACAATATTAACTGTTGAATATAATAGAATCAGAGGTATGGAAGGGGAGTGAACTGACGATTCTTGGGGAAAAGGGGAGAGGGGAATGTGGGAAGAGACTGAACATAAACTGTGCACCTATGGATGAGGACAATGGGGAAAGGGCAGAGGGTGGGGTGGGAACCTGGTGGAGGAGAGTAATGGGGGTGGGGGGAGGAACATTTGTAATAATATGAACAATAAAAATTTATTTAAAAAATAAATAATTTTTAAAAAGCAAAATAAAATAAAGATAACAAGAAAGGATCAAGAAAACAATCTCACCATTCCTGACAATTCTGGCCCTAAGTAATAGCCTCCCAGAATATTTAAGAGCCATATTTTTTACAGAGGCAAAAAAATTAACTACAAATAAATACTATCTTATATATAAAACCTCATCATTTCTTTCAATAATTTCAAACTACTTTTATTTCTCTTAGAGCTTAAACAAGAGATAAACTCAAATTCAGAAAAACCAGGTGCTACCCAGACCTTACACCTAAAACTGCTCCACCAGCGACAAATTTGTACTGAGTCCCTGTCAGGTGGGTTTCAATCCGTTACTGTCAATGTTCAGGTGACCACGGCTCATGGCGTGCCCTGTGCACCTTGGCTGAGCAGCTCTACCTCTGCCCACCCGACGCTAGTCACGTCCCCTTCCTAGGTGCTACACTGCCAAACATCAGCCGCTATGCTACACTGAGGGACATCGTGTGTGACACTGGCAGAAAGGGGGAAATGGGGAACCTGGAGCACCGGACCAGTGACCCATCTGAACTCCCTATTTAAAAAACAAGCCAGAGCTTGACTAGAATGAGGTGCTGCTCCTCCTCCATGCAGAGGCCGCGGGCAGGTGTAAAGACACTGCTGGCAGAGCTCTGGGAACAGCTCACAACTCAGGGCTGGTCTAAAGACTAGTCTTTGGGAGGTCTGGGCCAAGTTAAATTTCAGTTATCGTTCTGCTAAATTAATGGGAAAAGTCTCCACAAAAGACCATCGAACCTGATGTTAATGAAACGCTGAAAGACATTATGTTTTTAATAAATCACAGCCCTGACAGGTATTGTGGGCCATCAAAGGAAAAAGCTGGCACAGAGACAGCACCCTCAACTCAGGTCCCACGGGGAGCGGGCCGCCATGGCAGCACACTGGAAAAGCTCAGACTCTGCCAGACTCCAGTAGACTCATTTATCTTGTCGCTGCAAGCAGCCGAGCATGTGCTTCCAGCTGACAGTGTGGTACCTCCTCACCGCACACCACTGCCTGATCTGGAACATTCCGCTCCCTCCGCGGGTCTCAATCAACGGAAAGACTGTAATGCTGGCACTCCTCATTAGGACTAACAGCTGTCTTCCCAGTCACACAGAGACACAAAACTGTTTTTGCATAACAATCTGCCGGAATTTCATGGCTAAGAAAAAAAATATATGATGTGGAAAACGCTGGCCCATGAAATGCTGAAGCAGGATGCTCTCCTGGCTCCGAGTTAGGACCTGACTGCAGAGCACCCACTTCTTACTGTGAGGGGTAGCTCCCCACAAAACAGAGTCATCCTTCCGCATCTGAGAACAGACTAGAGCAGCGGTCGCCAACGGGTGGTCCGTGAGGTCCAAAAGGTTGGCGACCACTGGGTTAGAGAGCAGGCACTCCGTGTGGGAACAGAAAGGCCAGGGCATCCTTCCCTGGAACACAGGCTGCATCTCCCCAGTCCACAGAACCATCTGTGAAAGGTGACCGCGGCTCATGGGGTGCCCTGTGCACACAGCAACCAGTGTGGCCTTCTCAATGGCAGTTCCCCTGCTCAGGTGCGCTGCAGTGTTCATGTCCAACCCCTGTGTGTCCAGCAGAGGCTGGTGTGACAAATGGACCCCAGCACTTTCCCACCAGCCAAGGCAGAGCTCACACGCCTACACAGGAAACCTACACACGCCACTTGACCCTTTCATGGCCTCTGTGTACAAAGCCAGTAGATCATCACATTCCTTTCCAGGTCATCACCACTTCACAAACTGTTTTAGAAATTAAGCATCTAACAAATGACACCATTCAGGAGCATGTCCTCGGGCCTTTCCTATCGTGTGCTCTTGGCAGAGTTTAAGGAGCTCATGTCAGCCTGTCCTGTTCAACCTCAGATACCTCAAAGAGGAACAGGAAACTTCTTCAAATAAACACACTTCTGAATATTCCTTGATAGCTAAATCCCAAAAAACAGACCCTAAGATTAAAAAAAAAAACACTCAAAAGAAGAGTCAAACTTGTATCACACGTGATTCTTTTTCAGGATTGAAAATTCCGCTCTTTCCTTGAAAAATGATGTTCAGGCACCAACTACGCCAGCCACTAAATATTCCCACGTGGTTGTTCTCCTACCTACACCTCCCTCTTCAGGACAACTGGGAGATTTCCTTTCTATTTACTGATAGAACTGTCCATCCAAGGAGGATTCTGAGCACTACGGAGTGCCAGGCCTGCTGTCTGTGAGAGAACCCCCAACAGAGAGGGGTGAACCACTCCTGGTGATGCTGACACTCTAGTGGAGAAGATGGCAGTGGTCCTGGCTTTAAAGAAACATGCTGCAGTTGTAGGCCTGCAATCTAATTCAAGTGGCTGGAATGTGCTGATTAAAAAAAAAAAAAAAACCCTGCCGAAACCGGTCTGGCTCAGTAGTAGAGCGTCAGTCTGTGGACTGAAAGGTCCCAGGTTCGATTCCGGTCAGGGACATGTACGTTGGTTGCGGGCACATCCCCGGAAGGGGTTGTGCAAGAGGCAGTTGGTCGATGTTTCTCTATCATCAATCTTTCTAGCTATCTCTCTCTCTTCCTCTCTGTAAAAAAATCAATAAAATATATTTTTTTTTTAAAAACAAAAAACCCTGCAGTGACCAGCTTTACTACCAACCAGAGAGAAGGGCTCCAAAAGTAGCTTTAAGAGTGTGTCAAGCCCTAGCTTGTATGGCTCAGTGGATAG